GTCACACCTCTTGTGAGCTCCAACATCTGTGATATTTGGTCTTCCTCTGCACCTTGAGTGTTACTCTGGGCTTCAGTGTCAAGTTATCTGTATGAATGTAGGGCTGGGAGATGGGTCCTGCAGGTGAGGGCTCCCGTCCCCTCATCCCCAGTCTGCATTCAGTTACTTAAGTAAATTGCTGTGTTACAGAACAGGCAGTAGCTTCGTGTCATGCCTTCCTGCATGTGCTTTTACATGGAGTCTGTAACAACTGCGATGAAATCTGCTTGCTTAGTACTTAAGTGACAAGCGTTGGCTTCTATGAAAAAAGGTTGTCAGACCTTGTAGCTGTAAGAGATGCCTAAACTTACCAAAAACATCTCATTGATGAGTCTTCCTCTGTTGCTGTGCATCGTTAGTGAGCTGCAGGGCTTCCTTGGGGTCTGACTTCTTTCAGAGACGGCTAAATGGACACTAAGAGCTGCCTCCATGAGGAGGGGAGTCAAGAATGGGCAAGTATGTACCCGTTTATTTGGATTTACTCGTGAACTCTGGTGGCTAACATCAGTGGAAGGGTGGGTGCAGAACCACCTCTTTGAATATACAATTGAAACAAGTAGTGTTGAACTGTTTGGCTCTTGGCTCCTACAGACCGTTTGGATCCCTCAGAGCCTTTGTGTTGGAAAGGAAGGGCTGCTCTGTTCTTGCAGGCTGTTTTGCAGCAAACATGGTTACTGATGGCCAGGAACTCTCAGATTGATGCAGATCAGATGACTGGGAGTGGCCTTTTGGGTGACATCCCACAGGCAATGATGTCAGCAAAAGATTTCTAAAAATTCAGGTGTGGCCCAATCTGGCAATTAACCTGACTAGCGCTCTGGCTGAGTCCTCAGAGGGAGCTCTGGCTCTGCAGCCCTGCTGCTGCTTAAGGTATTATGTTTAGCATTTATTTTAAGGTACTTCATTTCGTACCTTCGTCTTGCCTAGTACCGTAACTGAAGCCTACTGTGAGTCGAGGGAGGATACTATTCCAACAGCGACGTGCTAGCTCTGTTGCCGTCTTGGACATCTCCTTGCTCACAAATACCCATGGCTGCTTGGAAGCTGTGACCCCAGGAGAGGTGGCTCTGGCTGGCCAGGATGGAGAGCCTGGCCACGCTGCTGGCGGAAGTCCAGGCCAGCCAGGCGGCCATGGAGGCCGGGCAGAAGGAGCTGAGGCGGGACGTGGAAACATCTCAGAAGGAGATCAGAGCGGTGCTGGCAATGCAGAGGAGCCAGCAGCAGATGAAGGAGGATCTGAAAGCAGAGATGGTATCCAGTCACCTGCATATAAGAGCTGTGCTTGACGAAATCCTGCGAATAAGGGAAGAAATGGAAGCTCGATTGAATACTCAGGCTGATCTCTTCTTACTGATTAAAGAAGCGAGCACCAATTTAACATGTGTAGACAAGGCTTTCCATAAAATGGAAGACAGTCAGAAAGTTTTTACGAGCCTACAACTTCCTGCAAGAGAAAATATTGATCAAGGAATTTTATTTGAAAATAATTTGGATGAGGAACATGAAAAGAAGGTGCTTAGGGGTAAGATAATGGTGCCTTCAAAACTAGGGGGGGTGAACAGATGAGACTGTTCCTACTTGTGCTTCAAGTGTTTTGTTTAGACTGTTTGGAGTGTTTTTAAGGAACATATTATATGCTTTTAAGAAATATATTATAAATTTAATCTTTTCTAATGGACTTGTCTGCATGTACTAGAAATTATTGCCCTGCAGAGCTTGCTATTACATGGTAGGCAAATAAAGACCTCGGTTTGAGTCTGCAAGTCGCCACGTGGGTGATGGACTCTTGTCTAGCCGTGGTGCACAGGCCACTATGGGGGGCTCAGCAGCAGGCAAGCTCAGGCAGCTGGCCAGGGAGGTGCCCATGTGAAGCACTGTGTGGTGTCTAAGTGCTTAATATGGTACATATATAACAATAGCTCTGTTTTCTTTTGAACATTTATTAACTAGAGAAGCTGTATGTGAAGTGATTCCCTTCACAGAAACTCTTGGGATGGGTATGATAAAGATGTAAAGAACAAGATTCTGTTTTATGGCAGCTGCCATCTGCATAGTGATCTCAGAGACAGGGGAAGCAGTTCTTGCCCTTGTCCAAGATCATGGGATATTTTATTTGACAGTAAAACATCAAACCTTCAGGTAGTAACTTTGCGTTCAAAAGGCTCAGTCATTACTGAGTTACTACTATTTATCCTTCCTTGTATCAATAGAGGGGGGGGGGAACACTTTGTATGGTGATTCTGTTGGGTTACTGCAATGCAGTGCTTATATTTCTAGCCTGGGGAAATTGTGCCTTACAAGACTGACTTTTAAAGCTTGCCACCTTTATAAAAAAATCCAAGCTCTTGCTTTGCCTAACGGGTAGACTTTAGAGTCTATCATCCAAGTGTTGTATTGGAAGTTAATTCCTGTCCTTTAATGAAGGCATGATGTTTGGACATCATAGCATGTCTCCTGTACAAATCTGGAGACATGGTCTGTTGTTGCCCAGAGGTGCACAGTTTGTAAATAAGCACAGCAGTGTTGCTGGTGTTCATCTGCAGAGGCAGTGCATGCTACAGAGGGTTCATGCCAGCAGAGTAGTGCTTTTTAATGCTTCAAGTGGTTGGATATGGTGTGTGTCTGTGATAAGCCTATCCAGAGAAGTGAATTCTTTCTGTGCATATCTTTTTCTTGAGCTTTATTTAGACTGGAATCTGGTGTTGGCTGGATGTATGTTGGAATTAACTTCTAGGAAAAGATTTGGCAGCCTGGACACCTTGATTAACAAAAGCAAAAAAAGCCTGGCTGAACTTTGGAAACGGTGGTTATCGAGGGTCTTGTGTTATTTACAGTTAGCTGTGGTGTCAGTGTAATGTGTAATGAAATATAATTTAATCAGGTAAGTGTCTGATGTCATTTTTCTCAGAAGAAAAATTGCTTGTAACTCTCTGTATTGCTTAAAGCAGCTTTTCACTCTCTGTCAAGGGCCATAGCAAATGGATGTCATTTCATAAAGCTAATGAAACGGCTATATTGATTAGTATCTTAATCACTGAATTTAATGAGCACTTTGAAATCAAGAATAGTGCTCTAATTCTTCACTTCCGATGGAGCATTCAGAAGAGGTGGAATATATGAACCAGTAGGAATATATGAACCGTAGGCTAGGGAATTCCCTCTCTAGACTTATTCCTCTTTCCTTGATTACTGTCTCTTACCTTTTGAAGGACTTTCAGGAGCAATAGACAGTGTCCTCCATAAGTTTGCTGGGAATATAACAGGATAGCTCTGAAACCTGAGCTGTATTGCTCATTTAGAGGTCCAAGTCAGAGGACCTCAGAATGTCTGCATTGCAAGGGAGGAAGTCATCAGATTAATTAAAAAGGTGATAAGAACAAGATAACTAGAACTGTTAGACGAACTTGATCTCTATTTCCCATGCAGATATGAACTTTGATTTCTATCTTGGGTTACCATGTTATCTCACCTTGAGCAGTGCTGCTACTACATGGCGAGTCAGTATGTTTTTAATTGAAATTATACCCTTAACAGGCAGCATCTCCTGCACAGATATGTGGTGAAATCTCCAAGAACACAGCAGCATCCAAACGTGATAAACCAGGATACTGATGTTCCTCTAACTGGGAGGGAGGGATTTGCTTGGAAAATTAGTAGGCTGGAGAATGCTCTTCATACCTGGCTCAGCATAAGAGGGATAGATGACATCAGATTTTTTAAACAGGAACTTAACTTCAAATGCTTTGAAAACAGCGCAAAGCCATGGAAGACCGATGTATTAATGCAATGGCTGATGTATCAGATTAACATTAGCTGAGAATCAAAACATTTATTAATAATAAATATTTCAGTTGTGCGACTAGACCTTAATCTGATGGGAATATTCCAGTAATTTTACAGTCTTCATGCAAGGTGTTTGAGGCTTGAGAAAGGATTTATAAAATGATTAATGCTAGTTCATTCATTTGTCCCCCATTTTTCCCCATGTTTCTATTTTTCTCCAAATCCTACCTCTGTTTTCTTCACTTTATCTTGAAGGATCTTGTTAAGTTGAAACTACAAAGTAATCTGCTCAGGTGTTTTCATTAAGCTGCCTAGGGATATTTATATATTGCATCAGTCTTTTATTACAAAAGTGTTTGTTCTCTGTGTGATCAAAAAGGAGACTAGCCCTATCTGTGAGCAGTTCTCAAACTGGAGTGCAGGCAGTGGAGAAACCTGGTATCTCTGTGGTGTTTACGAGTCGAATGTTGGATTATGTAATGTGGTTTCTTCTGACATGACATGATTGAGTACTGTGAAGTGATTGAGGTTGCAACATAGCTAGGAGTGTTACATAAACTATGTAATTACTGGACTATGCCAGGCAAGCCTGAAATACATTTTAGAGAGTTTTCTAAACTATCATCTTTGAGGCAAAAAATGCTGACATCAAAAAATGCTTAAAGACCTGTGGTTAGTAGAACTCAAACATGAGCTGAAGCGAGTGGAGTTCTTGCAAGGCAAATTTGAAAGGAGAAAAAGACTGAGTAAATATAGCGAGAGCGCTCTCCTATTCAATAATGCACTAGAGCGCAGAAAATATGAAATCCATGTCACAAGCTGAAGTCACTGACTCTTAGGATAGAAATAAGTCACTAGACTTGGTCATCAGTCCTTAGATGGCTAGAATGACAAACTTGCATTTTATGACAATATGGATTCAAAGCAGAGTGTGTAGGGTATGCCCAAATGTGTGTGGTGACAAGTAAATTAAAGAATGCATGCAAGGTCTTGTATGGAATGCTTCACACTTCGTTTCTGAAGTTATCATGCAAGCTAGTAGATGTCTGCTCTTCGGTGCAATTGAAATAACTCTTATTGAAATACTGAAAAGGTTAATAACTACTTTTTGTACACCTAAGCTTTTGTGCAACATCAATAAAAAATGAAAATTAATTTTTTTCACCTTTTTTTTCTAGTTGACAAGGGTAAGCAGCGGAGTCCTAAAAACTCATGCATACAGACACAGGCCTCCACAGATGTGCATTCACATGGGACAAAATCAGCCGAGTTGACACAATATAAAACAAAATGCGAGAACCAAAGCGGAATAATCCTGCAGCTGAAGAAATTCCTGTCCAGCAGTAACCAGAAGTTTGAAGCGTTAACGATTGTGATCCAGCACCTACAGTCCTTGGTAAAACTCTCAATTTATCTATTTTGGCTTGAATTTGTTGAGCTGTTCTCAACAAGGAATGAATTTATAGTCTGATGCATAATGTCTGTATTTCCCTTCCAATCTTCCTCCTCCTGTGATCCCTAGTTTTATACATCTATTAAATTGCAGCTTTCTGTGTTAGCTACAAGTGTCCAATTAGTGATGCAGTCAGGATGCACTTCTGCTAGTGCTCTTCGACATATCTTAATATACCTATTTGTAACATAGGAATACTTTTAAAGAAATGCAGAGCACTCAGGTAGAGATGTGGCTACCTATATTTAATAAAAAAATGATGGTACTTTTATTTTCCCCCCAAGTTCTGTCTCTTTGGAGGTTGCAGGAAACTTGCTCTAGGCATTAACTGCCTAGGAAAGAAAATGATGCAGAGTCTTGCTGTCTCTGCAGCCTCATAGCCTTTGCTGAAAAGGAATTTTTGAAATCTTGTAGGAAGGACTCCTGTAAGGACTCTTATGGAGTCCTTGAGTGAGAACCTCTCCCAAGTATATCCTTGGAGTTTTGCTCTTGTGGAAAAGACTGGTCTCAACAGATAATCTATATGACTTGGCTTTGTTATGTGACTTGTGTTACGTGGCTTTATGCGAAGGGCAGATATCTCTTGAGCTGTTAAAAGTAGAGGTTGGTAATTGTAGTATTAATTGAAAGAGTGAAAATGTTGCATTATTAGTACCATCTTGAAGTTATCAACTTGCCATTAAATTTTAGATTTGCATCTGGATTTGAGAGTAGAATTAAATGGTGTTTTAATATTTCATTGTGTTTGACATAATGACTTGATAAAGGTTAATAATACACCAGAAGGTTTTGGTCTGCTTCAAAAGCTTTCAAGGGAAGAAGAATCTGAACTTAATGAAGGAAGGGATATCACTATGGATTTCTGCTGTAATGGCTTCAGTAGAGTGGTTTTACTTATTTATGCTTCCATTTATTTCTACTGTTCAAAGACTGTTACCAATTTTACTTTAAGTATTCCAATAAAATGTTTCATAGTATGGTATTAAAAAAAAAAAAAAAAGCATCAAGTTGTCTTAGCATGCTGCCAGAAGCATAATGCTCTTTTTTTCTTCTTCTTGTGGATGGTAACTGCTCTCTCTCTTTTCTTCTGAAAATAATGCTTTACTGTTGAGTTCATGTCTGGTTCAACTCTTCTGTCTTCTAGTTTAGATTTACTTTCTTAAACTGTTGGTTGGAACACCTTTCTCTGCTAAGGAGCTAATTAAAGATCTTAAATTGCTGTGATACAGGACTTTTGGATGCCTGTTATCCAATCTGAAATTGTGAAATTCATATGTGAAATTCTCACTGTTGAATTTCCACACAGTCTTCTAACTACTAAAATCAAGGTGCTTATTATACAGTAACTTTTATAATTAATGCCTTGTCCTAGGTTTTTCCCTCAAATGTTTTTATAATGCTGCTTTTCTTTCTTTTTATTTAATGAGAGGAAGCCTGTCTTACATACTTGCTTCTCCCAGGCTGTTTTGGAGCTTGCTTATCTCAAAATTATTTTCCTTAGAATAATAGGAATGGTTATTTTAAGTGCAAGAGAAAAGAGAGAGGAGAACTACATGGTGGAAAAAAGTAATTTTGCTTTTCCCTTTTTGTTGTTGTTTTAGAGGTGGAAAGCAAACAAATTTGTTTTCTATCCAGTTGGATGAAATGAGTAATCTTGGAGAACTTAGCCAGGGCTAAAACTACTTTCGTATATGTTTTTGTGCCAGTTGTTGGCTTAGAGACTGCTCCTTGCCTCTCCTTTCTGCAATAAGGCAGTGCTGCAGATGGAGAGGTCCTAACAAACTCTGGTTTTGTAAGAGCAAGGAGGACTGTTGTGCTGGGGCTGGTACACAGACTGGTCCTTCTAATTAGCTGGGGAAACATCCTTGGTGGAAGTGTGGATTCGGGTCTAGCTGGACACTGTATGCCCAAGACACTTGGGGTAGTTTAGCTTTCTGAGGGGCTGCTTGGAGAGCTCTGGTGGCTCAAACTTCCTGCCCGCCTGGGCTATCGGTTGGACTTGGGTTTATCTCGTGAGCACTGAGCCCTGACTCATCCAGTGTGCAAGCAGCTGGAAGTAGCTTCAGCCTGAGTTGCTGCCCTCTTCTTTGTCTGAAAGAAAGAAGAAAAAGGGCTGGGGGCTGAGGGGGAGGCTTAGGCTCATGCCTGGCTGTGCTCGTGCCCCTGCTACTGGGGCAAGTGTGAGGTAACGTGACGCAGCTGGAGCTGCTGCAGAGCCGGCTGGCCCCAGAGCAGCCCTGCCTGGGCCCCAGGAGCAGGCCCTGTCCCGCAGAAGGCAGGCGCAGCCTGCACAAGGCCCAGACAGAACCTTAAACCCTGATTTTTGCCGCACAGGAGCTGAGGTAAGCTTTCCAACAGAGCACCCCAACACATGCTGTGACGAGCTAATGCTGGCTAGGAACTCCCTTGGCAAACAGCGTGCTGCCCGGAGAGGAGCAGCGCGTCCGACAGGAACATCCAGCGGCACCAGGTCCTTCCCGTGCCGCAACGCCCGCGTGTGCTCACAGCACGGCGGAACGCACCGGCTGCGGCCGAGCCACAAAAACAAGCGGCCTTTTCCTACGCTGTTATCCTCCCGCTGGTCCCCTGGCAATTCCTGGGACTTCCTAAGTATTTTCCTGTTTTTTAAACTTCAGACAAGAAAGGAGACGGGTGGCGGTACAGAGGAAATGCTGAAATCAGCCATTTACAGCAAACTCACAGATACAAAGGAAATCTTTCCTCCGTCAACCTCTAACTGTGCTAAGCTCTGAAAACCAGAGCACTGTGTTCAGGTTGATCTTCAATTTGGCTTAATTTTGCGTGCCCTTTGTTGATCTTCTAAGGGTTTAATAGCTCCATTAGCAGAGACTTTCAAGCTATGGTTTAGCAGATCTGCTCCACTCGGTGCTTGGGGTTAGAGAGAATTTTTTGTTATTCTGCTGGCATGGGACTAGCTTGATTTAAATCTGGCTTTAGTTATTTCAGAAGCTGCTTGGGAGAGGTTCAGCTTTCAAGCCAAAAGGAAATGTATGAGTATAGTGACTTGAGCTGTTTAAGTAATGCATTGTTGTTGTAATTGCCATGTTCAGTAGCAGACAGGCCTTGTAAATATATCTTGGACATTAAAGTGATTATTATTATCCATTTTTCTTCTTGTCTAATAAACAAAATCTGGTTAAGTATTTTCAAGAACCCTCATCATTCCTAGAAAGGAGATCATGCCCTAGAAATAAGAAAAGCCTGACACCTTACAATACAGTGCCACAGAGCTAAACTCCAACAGCTAAATTGTGCTGTTGTCCATCTCTTGTTGTAGTTCTAACAAAAGGACTGGAATTCAGAGCCCAGGTGTTGTTTGGGATTGACTATGGTGGCATCTTGAAAAAGCTTTCTAGAGGAGTGAATGCCTCTTGAGAGGGTATGGTGCCTTGGTACTAAGATGTGCATAGCATTAATTCTGAAGGTACAAGAAGCAACCTAAGTCAAGAACTAGAAATGCTGTGGCTGAAACAGTCTTTAGTATTTGTAGGTGGGAATAGGAATGAGCCATTAGTGTATGAGCCACTGTGTCTGGCACTTCCTGGCATGTGGATGAGTGTAAGAGTGGAGATAATAGCTTTATTGGGAGCTTCCTAGAATAGAAGGGATGTTTTGAGTCTTGGAATATACGGGCATATGTGTCCAAGTACTTTGTTGTCCTGCAAGCAAGTTCAGTTCAAAATTTTTCATATTAAATGAGGAAAGAGTATCCAGCCAAAGGAATAGAAGCACATACTACATCACAGAACTGAAAACTGAAAATATGAGTCATATTTTTTTGCTATAAATTGCAAGTGTTTTGGCATACTCATTGCAATGAAGAGAGCTTAACTTAAGTTTAAGAACTTAAACTTTGGTTTAAATTTTCAATTTAAACCTTTTGGAATTTAACATCAGACTCGAGTGGCTCTCATCAGAGTATTTCTCCATCTATTTAATTCTGGTTACTATAGGCAGGTCTAGTTATAAGACAGAATAAGAATGTTCAGTTTCAGACTTCTGTCTCCTTTCCCCCAAGAGAAGTAAAACTGAAGTCAAAAGCAAATGTTTGAAGATTTTTAAATATATAAACACTTTTTAAATATATAAAACACTTTTTAAAAGTGTTTCTGCTCAGTAAGGGAGAATGAGGAAAAACAGCACAGTAGCTTCTGCACTGAAGGAGATCAGGGCTCTGGGAACTTGCGTTTTAGAGGTGGCTGTTTGGAAGCAGGTAACTGCAAACTGTTCTCAGGTTTGTCAGGCACGACAGCTTATTGACCAAAACAGTTAATTTTTGCCAATTGATTGAAGTTTTGTGAACTTGAACGTCCATAAAAAGACTTTAATATATTGATTCACATGGGACTAGGCTCTGGGAAGGAATCTGTCTAGCTTTTTTTGAAGGCACTTCGCTTTAAGGAATTTACTGGATCTTCAGAACAGATTCTGGATAGAGAACATATCTGGGTAGGGCTTCAGGGCAGGACTTGGCAGTAGAAGTTGTGTGGAGGAAAGACGTCTTTAGTTCTGATGCAGTTTGTGTCAGACCACCAGTATTGCTTTACATGACAAAATTGTTTCCCAAGTATATTTCATTTTCCTCATGCTTATTCCTCTCCCCCAAAGAAGACAACCAAAAATTAACGACAGTAGCAAACTAGATCTATCTTTAACAAGTTCAGAATAAAAGCAAGGGACGAGTGGAAAACAGAAAAAAAGAAAGGGGGGAAAAGGGAGAAAAAAGAAAAGTAGTGTTTTGGCTTCTTGTTTCCATCTTCTGCTTTGTACTGCCCTTTCAGATTAAATTCTATGCATCCTTTAAAGCAGAATGACTTCATGAACGAAACTGTAGCAGTTTGCTCAAATATCAGGTCTCATATCATGACTTCATAAGAGTAGCTCCAGCTTGATAGACATAAGTCTTAAGTCACAACAGAAAT